AAAATTCTATTATAGAATTTTATTATAATAGCAATAAAATGTACTTAAAGTATCAAAAGTAAAATGACTCATTATGTTGATAGGCTCTTGTTAGTGTAATAATTTAACATGACTGGGTCACTGTCAACATTTAAGTGTTATTTAGATGTTGTAGTTGGTCGAGGATCATTTTAATTTCTTCATAAACAGCTGGGTACTTGTTGAAGCATATTAATCAAACTGGTCATCCTGTATATTTTATATGCACAATCTTAATCTGAATAGTAAATAACAATAGCTGTTAAATAAATGTAGTTTTGTAAAAAAAAATACAATATTTTGATTTGAAATGTGGTGGAGTAAAACTATAAAGTAGCTTAGAGTGGAGGACAGCACTTTGGTGAAACCACCTTACAACTCTTCTCTCATTTATTTAAATCTAAATTTAGCCACAGTATTTAATACAATAATTAATCAACCTTAGACATACCATCTGTCATCTTGACAGGACTGGATTCAGGTACATAACTTTTAAAATGAATTAACAGCAAACAGCTGTTAAGCTTAAGTGTCTTATTCTTAGGAGATTTTAAAGCTTTCTTACTAATGTTTTTTTATTAACCTTGAAATTGGTTCCATTTACTATTTGTTTTACTTGGTTGACTGATTGTAAATGTTTTATGCAGTCAGGTCAGCTTTAAAAAGGATTGATTTAAAAGAAACTGCATCCTTAAATAAAGCTAAATCTATTACTATGATATAAAAATACATGCTAAATTCGTTCTATTCTTCCATTGCTATGCCAACAGTACTCAGCACTATCTCTCTGTGGCAACAAATAAACCCACCAATTTAGATTTCTGCCTGACTATTGTCAAGTGGGTAAGGCCACATTTTCTCTCAGGTGAATTTAGACACAGTCAAGGTCATAGTTTTTGTCCTGAACATTGTACATCCACAGAAAAACTCACTTTTCAGTTTTGTTGCCACTGTGCATCAAAATTACATCTGAATATTTTGGACTTGTCTAATATATCAGTTATTAATAACAAAACGACTGTTATTCGGACCCTGTGTTTATACCATTGTGTTTGAAGATATAAGGATTTTACACTTTTTTTATTACCTAATCTTGTATTTGCCTTTCTGAAATGCTGGTTTCAGTTATTACACTTTCATATCTCAAATATTGATGCATCTACTTTTGTTTTATTGTCCATAAATCTCTAGATTGTCAGAGAAGCCAATCTGCAAATGCCTCATGAGTGGGCTCGGTTGGGTATAACATGTTTATTTCCCATCAGAGCTGTTGTTATTAATCTTCATGGCTCTGATTCCTCAATGATCTTTGCTGTCATGCTGTTGTGAAATTGTGCTTTCAGTCGCCTCATCTGCCTCACACACAGCTGTGTTTTTGGAAAGTGACATTTTGACAGCACCTGAGCCTGGCAAATTCTCAGGTTCTGGTGATTAAACACTGGCCATGATGTGATATTCTGGTCTGCACATTATTCATGGCCAGACAATGGCAGAAACTGTTCAGTCTGTACAGACTTTCAGTAAAGCAATGTCTAGCAAGGTGTTTTGTAAGGAGTTTTAGCGCCATTTATTCTGCATGTGATGTTAAAGCTTTATTGATAAAGCTATTTAAAGGTTAAGTGTGTAATATTTAGGAGGATCTGTTGAGAGAAATGCAACATAATATACATAACTAGGTTTTCAGTGGTGTATAAAGCCTTACGTAATAAACCATGATGTTTTTATTACCTTAGAATGAGCCATTTCTATATTCCACAGGTCCTCTTACATGGATGTTGCCATGTTGCGCAGCCATGTTTCTACAGTAGCCCGAACGGACAAACGGCTCTTCAAAGCATGTTTCGTTACTAGGCTGAATACGTACAAAGAACAAGAACAAGAAGAACAACAAGTAGCGTTAGTAGTAGTAGTAGTCAACTGGTTTATTAGAAGTAGAAAAGTTTAGATAAATGGAGGCCAACACGTATTATTTAGCACAGGGCGTTTGACAGAGCGTGTCGGCTACTGTAGCTTATCCTGCCTGCTTGGAAAGGGAGGGTGCATTCAGGTGGTGTCAGAATAATCAGAATCTGTCTTTCCTCCTTAAATCTTTAAAGCAAAAAAAAAAAAAGAAATGTGTACATGTGACATCACTTGCACAATGTGCACAATCAATGCACATTCATATTTTGCAAATGTGAAATTTGTAATATGGTTATAACGGTTAGTTTGCTGTCCAGATTGAGATTATATGCTCTGATAATGCTAATCCAACACTTGCACAGTGAATGCACAGTGAGCTGCTAATTGCAATTCGCAACACTTACCACTAGATGCCACTAAAACTTACACAATGAACCTTAAAGCATGTTTGCAAGGAAAGATTCAAGCTACAACATTTTAACACTGTCGAAAACTATACCTTTCATTTCTGCATCCAGTTGTATTGCCAGTACAGTAACATGTAGAGGTGACATCACTTGATAGATATTTTGTCACCTGTACTAGATGACTAAAACTGGAGTTTTGAGGCTGATACAGAATTTACAGTAAAAAACAAAAACAAATCTTATCTTATCTATATCTCATTACATCTCATTACCTTGTGTATCATCTTGTCACAAGGTATCAAACAGTTATCTTGGGAAATGGCCTTAAAAATAAACATAATCGCCATAAGAAACAACAAATGAAAGCATTGAATTTTGAACAACAGACAAATGTTCATCTCAAGATAACATGACAGTTAAGATAAAGAGATATAGACATAACATGTTTTAACAAAACAATTAGCAACCAATGCAGCTCTTGCCTCTTCACAGTAAATGCTACCATTATGAATTCACATAATGGACGCTTTATTGAATTGTGAAGCTGTAACCTTGATTTTATAACATCTAAAGAGTAAACAGTATTAACATGAAACTTTCCAAAATAATAAAATCATTTCATTTCAGACTTTGAACATCATGCTGTGGTTGCATAAGCCAAAATTCTAACAGGCAAACAGCTCAAAATAATTTGCCAGTCTTGTGGAAAGCCATTCATTTCATAGGCTCAAATTGCTGCTGTGCACAGTGCAGTTATCATTATAGCCTGTTTTGTCATTTAGTGGAGACATTCATAGGATGCTTATATTCCAGCTTTAAACAAGGGAAAGCTAGCCAGATTCCTTCCCCTTCATGGCTGCATGGAGACCAGAGTCCACCTGACTGAGCATGTGAGTCGATTCATGTCCCTGTTTCACAGTGATTCATAAAGTACTTTAATATGTGCCACTATCTGTAAACCTTCAGTTTTAACAGAGATAAATTTCATCTTGTTGTGTATCATGTTTCCTTGAAACCTTTTTTTCCCCCATCTGTGTATTTGTACATGCTGAGGACATCAAAGCCGCCGCCACCCAGGGGTGCCACTGCACATTTACTTTATGTGCCGATTTATGTGTGTGTAAGAATCTGGGGTAGAGTTGTATTTGTGTGGATGTGAATGCGTTAGGTTAGGAGACAACATGGATGGCTGGCAGTAAGGTGCAAGCTTACTGCTAGCCTTACTGCTAATTATGTTAATCGCAATCCACTTGTGTATATTTTTTCCCAAAAGTGAAAGCAGATTTGGACATAACGGACAAATAATAAGATGAACCATGTGTTATATAAATATGACATATTTCCCCTATGTATTGTGATTCATCAATGGATAATATATGAATAAGTATACTATATAGTATGTAGTGCAGTGTCAAGCAGCCGCGCACAGTCACACACGTGTGAGAGAAAGGCAAAATAGCAAACTTTTTTATTTATTTGTACTTTTGCTATTTGCTTTGGTAATACATTTGTTATTATCATGTGATGTGCCTTCAAGTGTGGTCTAAAAATTAAACTATTTATTTATTTATTTATTTATTTATTGAATTAAAAATATTTGGTATTGCCCATCCCTATTAAGTATTTCCAGAGGACTACTTGGTGCATCAGTGCTATAATCATCTAGTTTTTGGATTTGGACTTTATTTAAATAAAGTCCAGAATATTTCTTATCATTTTGATATCGCCTTACGTTCAGAAACATTTTAGGAGAAAACACCATTAGCCCAACAGTATTGTCACATTCACTCTCCCATGGTGCCTCCTCCACGGTCTGACAAAAATACACACAGGAGACAAAACAGAATCCATTAAATACTTGATGCAGTTGTGAATAAAATCAGTACCTTTGCAGCTTTGAAACATTCTTGTGCACCTGTAAAGCCACTGACTAGATGGCTACCAGGGTATAGAGAATATGCAGTTATTTTGTGTGAATGTCAGCAGCGGTTTGTGCTTCCCAGTATGTTCGTACAGAGATATACTTCAGGTGAGCTATTTTTAGTGTGGAAATCTATGCTGAGTGCGGATACATGGATACTGTGTGACCCAAGACCAGGTCCAGAGGGACAGAGGAACATGACTGAAGCACAGCGTGCAGAGAGCAGCCTGGGTTGTGCGCAAGAACAACCTCTGCATGTAGAATGAGTTCCAGGCAGGATGCAGAGAGGAAAGGAGGAAGCACTAGTGCAAGTGCAGCAGGCTTCTCAGCACTGGTACGTTATTAACGCGCAAGGTTTTGTGCGTGTGCGCGTACATTGTGTGTCTGTGTGTGAGTATGCATATGTTAGTGTTAGATGGTCATGACTGGCGTGTGCACGAGGGAGGATGGGGCTGGGAGATACTGATTGGCTGTGCCTCTTGTAGGGTGTGGCCAGAATATGAATGACTGCTCCTGCATTTCGCGCTGCCAGGTTTTCGGAACAGTTACAAAGGAGGGATGGGGTGTTTGAGATTGTGCATGTGGAGGGGAGAACATCAGAGCTTGTGAGAGGAGGGAGGAAAGAAAAGGGGAGGGGGTAACAGAGAGAGAAAGAGAACAGGAGCTTATGAAGAGAAAGAGGGAGGGAGCTTCAGGCAACGAGGCTGGACTACCGCTCCAACACTGCAGTCTTTCTTTTGCTTCTCTAAGGAAACTGTCTTTCTCTTCTCCCTGCCTGTCTCTTCTTCTTATTCCTTCCTGTCTTGCTGCTTGGCCATGACCCCAGTGGACACCTTGATCTCCTTGCCCACCTAGAGAAGAGGATAGAAATTCTGTAGCGGAGGAGAGAGAGACGAGAAGAGGGGACACCGAACACTTTGCCTCACTGATGAGAATCTGGAAATTAATTAACCGCCGTCAGCAGAGAAGGACTCAGAGTGAGGAACAGGACGAGAATAAGAGGGAGTTGAAGAGGGCGAATTGCTAGATGTGTGAAAAGCCAGCTGTGGAGAGAAGCAGAGTAACCCCTAGACACTTTAAGAGACAAAAGGGACAAGTTAGGGCAGAGGCAAAAGAAGCGGGGGAGAAATTGGGCAAAGCAGCTATTCAACAGGGATACTAATTTAAGAAGCCAAAGAATGGTCCTCTCACATGCGTTATTCATCCTTTCATGCTTCATTTCAACCCTCTTCTCACATTTGTATCATCCTTCTCTCTCATCTTGTTTAGTTCATTTCTTTTTCAGTAAAAGCACATCGACAGCTGCAACCACATGCTGAACACTCAGCTACGATTTAGACCAGAGCTTAGCATTTCATTGTCAGTGGATGTGTGATCTGTTACTGAGTGAAAGAAGTTGATTGGCTGAAGCAGGGGTGCCATTACCTCCTGGCCAAAAGCACCTGCTCAGGAATTTCTCATGAGACCAGGTAGGACGTTTCTGGTTCATTTTGCCAACCCGAAGCAGCTGGAGAGGTCGAGTCAAAACCCTCTAGTCGTTTACCTGATTAAACCGTTACAAGATGAAACAGCAAACCAGCTTATCTCTCAGAGCATGACACCTGTGTTTGAGAGATTACAGAGAGGGACACAGGGATGTGCAGATGTGTATGTGTGTGTTGGGATTACTTCCTAAATACTCAGAATTACACAGGTGTTGTGGCAGGATTATGTAGAGTCTCCTACTGAATATAGTGGCACTATAGGATTAAAGAGAAGAACTCTAGTCAAGTGAATGGAAGGGCATTATCTTTCACAGATTAATGCAAAACAAGTGTGATCACACCTGGGGTATAATTAAATCAGCCATTCCAGGGTTTGGTAGGGGTTGTAATTATTATTTTGAGCTAAACTGGGGATAGGTTAAAATATTGCTCAAATCCATCTCTCGGCCCTTAGTGGAATAACTTCTGGTCCCTCATTGTAGACTTTGCTCCGACCTGAAATACACAGAGTGACTATCAAAGACTCTTAAAAGCTCATTCAACTTGCATAATGAGACGCTCAAGCACAGACGAGACTCCATACCGGCGTAGTCCCTCTCTGGACAGCAAACCTGACACACCGCCGTTCACTTCTGGGTTTCACCGCTTCAGTGGGGAATTTGAGTATAAGCGGCCACCGTTTGCGTTTGGCTTCCACACAACAAAGGGGCCACAGACGTCCAAGGGGCGCTATTCCCAGGGGAAGAAGTATGTGGTGTTTTACCTGGACCTCTCCTTCATATTCCTCCTAGAACTGCGGCGCTGCAGGATGGCTGAGGGTTGCATGATGGCCCTGCGATATGGAATGGTCTTCTTCAACCTCCTGTTCTGGGTGAGTCTTTTATCTTAAATTTTCCCATCTCTGAGTGTGTGTGAGTTTTGGGGATATTTCAAGTTTTGCTTTCTTGAGTTTTACATTTTGGTATCTCAGTCACTCTTGTTTAGAGCAAGATCTGTTATGTGTGTCTGTGCAACCAGAGTGATGTGAGAGGAGGGAGAAGGGGGGAGTGTGAGAAAGAGACAGATCATGCATTTAGATCATGTGTACAAAGCCCATTGTGTGGGTGAGTCAAGCTTTTTCTGTTCCAAATACAGTACTTTAAGTGTAGGTGTACGCTGTATTGTTTGCTGTGTTAAGTGTTTGCATATTTGGAGCTTGCATTGTGTGTACACTAGTTAACACCGCTACTGTTGTGCTGTAATTCTTCACCTACCTCTGCTTCACCCTCCTTCCTTTACAACAACACTTCTCAGCCCATTAAAGCATCTGCTGTCAATCTGCTCTATCTGGCTGATCGTATCTGTTTGCTGTGGGGACGTTTGAGTTTCTGTGTCTGTCTGTGTCTGTCAGTCCCACTCCGATAGCCCCACTACAGATCACTTTCATTTGCACAGTGAAGTCTGTCATGTTCCACAGCTGTGCTTCACACTGACAGATCTCGATCTACGCTTCATCTGGGTTTTTTGTCACACACTCCCTTTGTGCAAACCGTTGCCACTTTTCACACAGTTTTGCTGGCCTCTGTGGTTACTTTGCAGGGATTATTTTGATGTGTCATACTTCTGTTCTTATTGTTCATGGAACAAGATGAGGCCTTGAACTATAAAATGCAATCTAGCTGCCAAGATGCAATCTCCCTTGGGGAATGAGTGACCTCTTCACCTCCACATCTTCTGTCAGCTATAAAGCGCTGTCAATGAGGGATCGCAGTGTTCGCTATTAGCACTCTCTGTCTGTGAGAGTGTGTTGCCTCTGGGGATAAATAATGACCACATGACCACGCCAAGCTTTAGCCTCCTCCTGAGAAGCCAGTCATGTTATCCTCCAGGTAATAACAGTAGAGGTCTTCCAATTTAAAGTCTTTAAAAACACAGAGCCTTAGTAGCAGCTGAAGGCTAATGACAGACCTCAATGTCGCTACCATTTCCGTAGCAGTTTACAAGCCGTTACATGTCAAGTGGTTCATCCAAACCCAGAAACCCAGTGTTATGTTCCCAGGATGTGCAGGGGTTGCGGGAGTAACACATTAAAAATCAAATTACCCGAAACAAAGGAAAAAATCTTAAATCAAACAGGATTTTTTTTACAAATAATACAGAAAGTGAGAAGTAAACTGAACAGTCAGAAGTAGCAGTAAACAGCAGTATAACAGTAGTTCATATATTATGCACCCAGAAGAATGGGAAGACTATTTTTGGTTAATTGTGGTTCATTGATTATAATTTAACAGAATAATATACGTGTGTAAATCCAGTTGAATGGTCCAGTGACAACTTGCAGCTCTCTCCATGCCTTTTTAACTCCAGGTCCTGATTAGGTGATTATGGATAGATGCCATCAATCACTCACTGGAAGGGGGAGGGAGCAGTACCCTAAAGTGTGATTTATCCTTCTGCGTAAAATCTACGGCGTAGCCTCTGCGTTGCCTCTGCGTTGCCCCGTACCCTACGGTGTAGCCTGACGGTCACCTCCTCAAAAATGTAACTACATGTCGGGGCGACGTGGACCGTAAGAACTGTGATTGGTTAGCTGGGTAGCCCTGCAATCCCTCCGAGCAGACAGAAAGTGCTCTGTACTTTGAAGTAAATTGTACTAGCGGCCAATCCAACGGCTGTAACACGGTGAATCAATCATCCGTTAATGTTATATTTTATATTGATGTTGCTCTACTGGCACCATGACCTAAACACTGCCACACTGTTACTAGCTACCCTAAAACTAGTTAAAGAAGCTAGTGGTTAGCATGCATCCCTAATCTGTTAATTCTGTCACATGTTTTAAATCAAGTTCTTTGAGGTATAAGTGCTAAAATAGATGTTTTAAAACACAACCATCTTTATTTTGCAAACTTTATTTTCCAAGTACTTTTTAGCAATATGGAAAAGCTGTATTTACACCTTTAAAATGTTATGTCTGTCGTGCAGGAAGTGTCTTTCCAAAGTCAGCAACAGGAAAAAAACCTGAAGACCTGGGTAGTTAAGGTATGTGCAGTGACAGCTATGACTGGAATGACAAAAAAATGTCACTAAGAGAAACTCATACAGGAAAGTATAAGGATGAAGACAGCATACTACAGAGCTGACTGTTAAACTGACATATAATCTCTGTGAATTGCAGAGAAAAAATAAATACACCATAGCAACGAGTACTTAGCACCAAAATACATCAAATACAAGAAAATCTCACCAATTACCACTTAAATTACTGACTAAACCCAATGACAGTGAAAACGTCTTTTATAACATATGCAAGATCCCAACCACACCAGGGGAGCAGCATCAACGACAAAAATAGTCAAGAGCAGAATCAGTCTGTCTGCCAAGTGCAGTAAATGTACAGGAAGTTGTCACATTGCAGATACGTATTGACAGCTAGATTAGAAAGTGACAAACTGCACACACAAACAGAGAAAACCTTCAAGTGTTAATATCGATATATATGAATATTGACACTGTTAAATTTATACAATTTTATTGTGCAGGTGGAGGGACAATGTGACATATATATATATATGTAATGCCTGTATGTGGCGCTGAAAGGTTTGTGTCTGAGCTGAGCTGTGGTCAGCGTGGATTCGCCAGGGTGAAGGCAAATGAAAATGTCAATAGAAACTTTCTTAAACCACTCCTGCATCCTGATCTACTTCTCTGCTGTCCGTCTCTGTTCTCACCATGTACCAAACACCCATATTTTCACCAAATTGCTAGATTTACAGCTTCCATAGGTTTCCAGTCTGGTTATCTGTTTACCTTTGTCACACCACAACTATGTTTGCTAAAATGAGATTGTGAACCGTGTCATCATGTACTACAACTACAATATGATGGAGTTACCCCAAACTGGATGAAATGAAAATGATGAGTAAGAGTCCTTGTGGAGGATAAACTGTCTCCCAATGGAATGTGTTCAGGTCAGATGAGCATTTGAGTGTTTTAGGATTGAAGACAGACCTCCTTCCTCTGTCTTCCTCCCAGCTTGGCATCACACAGCTCCCACTGGTGTTGATCTTTGAAACACCAATGGCTGGATTCATAATTGATCTCTACTGATGGTTTAACACCATGTCATGCCAGTTTTGACGCTGCTTTGCTTCAGCTTGTCAGAAGCAGTTGCAGCCGACACCTTTCTGTCCAGTGCCAATTATCTGCTACCTCCAGTACAAAGCAATAAAATTCATTTATTGAAGAATGAGGACATGTTGATCTTCTAAGAATTTCATAAAAATGTCAAAAAGGGCACTTCACCAAAAATTGTACAAAAAAATGTTGCTGGATTTTACTAAACTTTTGCTATGCACCATGTGATATGGTTTTACTACTGAAGTGTTTTGTTGGCTACTTAGTTTGTTTCCAGTCTAATTAAGTGATTCTATCAATTTATCTTTTGCATCGCTGTTCACCATAAAGCATAAAATAATTAAGACTAATTTCAAACCCCTTATGGGGGGGAAGTAGGTACTGTGCAACGAAATTCCATTTGTTAAATATCTAGAATCTCTGGAACATCTAGAAATATCTAAATTTTTTTTGTTCTAAACTTAATGCATTAGCATAAAATCTACAAATGTATATTTTGTTAGAGTCTAGAGAGGAGGAAACAACATGGTTTTTGTTGATGATTAGAATTTGTGGAAGTTAAAATTTACAAAGTTGTACTTTCAAGCAGTAAACAAGCTCATGACACAGCAGCCAGAAGTGTCAGGATTTTCTGGGAAAAACTGTCTGCTCGTGTTGGCGTCACTGACTAATTTGTTCTCATGGGAACTGCAAGAGGTCAAGCAGTCAAACTGTGACAGGTTGGTGAGAATGGTAGTTATGATTGAGGTCAGAGCTGCTGGTCTGCAGCTACTGAAGGAGCCGTGATGATGGGAAGAGATGACGTCTATATCCAATGAAGCAATCTCACTGCTATCCTGCTCCAGAAGGGATTCTGAAAAGCCCAGCAAGTTAGAATCTAAATGAAAACTTTAAAACAACTTTCCGAAACTTGGCAAGTGTTGAGCTTTAAAACACTTCTGTTTATTACTCACATCTGTAATTTCTATTACTTGCAATGTTTTATTTATGATGTGATGATATTGTTTGAAACACTTTTAAGGTAAGACTCATTGTTCTATTTTTCCACTGAGTTTTCTTCCTTAAAAGTATCCTTTTATTTTATTTTTTTAAGGAGCAGACTGGTTCAAAGTTCGTTTCACTCTGATCTTTGTACTTCCATTTAACTAACTATATGTTCCCAACATTCAAGTTATGTTCTCAGCTGCAAAAACTTACCATCTCTGTTTAAATTAAACTAGGTCATTTTGCAGAGTTGACAGCTCAGACAATGCTTCTGCTAATAGAAAGGGAAGAGAGAAAATGGGGAGAAAACACAAATTAAGTGGTAATTATGCATCAGAGTCCTTCTGAGTGAGTTAGAAAATGAGCTGTTAAACTGCAGTGTGTTTGTGCTGAAAATAGATTTTTAAAATCAGATTTTTGTCCTGGAGTTTTAGATTTTCACTCATTTTTTAAATATCAAAATGAACACCAATGTAGCTATATATATATACATATATACATATATATACATATATATATATACATACATATATACATACATATATACATACACATATATACATATACACACATATATATACACACACATACAGTGAGGAAAATAAGTAATCCAGAAATCACAATGTATGATTTTTTAACTATTTATTTGTATGATACAGCTGCAAATAAGTATTTGAACACCTGTCTATCAGCTAGAATTCTGACTCTCAAAGACCTGTTAGTCTGCCTTCAAAATGTCCACCTCCACTCCATTTATTATCCTAAATTAGA